GGGATTCCACGCAGGTGTCTCCTGATTCCAGAGACAATGGTGCCTTCACACACCAGACATGGGCAATGTAAGAGTTTAGCCAGCCCTGCTAGTGCAGTGCGCAGCACAGGGGCCAGCACCCACATAAGATGGCTTCTAGGGATGATTTGGCTATGGCGTTGGAGCTAGTCTGTGTAGGTGTCTACCTATTTTCCAAGCCTTCCTGACAAATCTGTGCATTACCCCAAATTTTTGCAGTAAGTTTCTTTTTCCTTGAATCAATCAAGGTCAATTTCCACAGGTTTGCCACAAAGAACTCCAATTGCTATGAATAATAAACTCTCTGCAATTTGGATGCCCAAAATCATTTGTTTTTAGATTTGAATAACAGTTTACCCGTACATGAAAGTCCAAATTTAAAATCATCTTCTTGGCTGACAATGGTGACACATACCTGTAACCCCAGCACTCTGGAAGGCTGAGTCAAGAAGATTGCAAATTTGAGACCAGCCTGCAGAATTTAGCAACTTAGTGGAATCTCCTTTCAAAATGAAAACTAAGAAAAAGTTGGTGATGTAGCTCAGTGCAAAGGCCTTGGGTTCAATCCCTAGTACCACAAACAGTAAAATAAAATTTAAAAAATAAATATGTTCTTTCAGAACCCTGTAGATAGTTCTCAGTTGCCTTCTACCACCTCGCCCAGTGCCAAAATTCTAAAATCAGTTGGTTTCTTATTCCTTTAAAAATATACTTTTAGATCTTCTGGGAACTTTTTGAATATTCTTTTCACCCTTGAATTTCTAACATTTTATCAAAATGCATCTTGTGTCCTTTTTTTATTATCCCTGCTTTGCCTCAAAGATACAGTCTTATTTTAACTCAATTTTTTTCCTTTCATTTCCTCATTTTCTTCCATCCATTCATATTGTCGTTGATTTCTGGAACAACTGGCAAATATTGGGATTTGTGCATCTATCTTTATGAATCTACTATAAAAACTATGACTCTCATAAAGAGAGACTCATAAAGAGAATATATTGTCTCTCGTATTTTATATTTTTCATCCTGCTTTATAGAAAGTTTCTTTTGTATTTAGTCAATGTCCCTTTTTCAATTATCAAGAATTCTTGGGCTGGGGATTTAGCTCAGTGGTGCAGCCACGTGCCTTGCAAGCGCAAGGTCCTGAGTTTGATCCCCAACACACACACACAAAAAGAATTCTTTGCTGAGCTCAGATTACTCCTTCTTCACAGTAACTCATTATTATTTTGTAGATGCAATATCTTCTTAAATCTTTCTAAAAATAAAATTGTAAGAGTTTTTTCTTTTCTGCTTTCTTCTCTTTCTTGTGGAATATTTCTGTTCATCTTGGTCCTTTTTTCTCTCCCATGCTACTAGTAATTCTTAATGTCTAGTTATTATTGATCATCTGCTTATATATATAAATGAAGATTTTAATAAGAAAGTATGGATTCGTCACCTGCTGCACAAGCGTAAGGATCCGAGTTTGATCTCCGGTACCCAAAAAAAAAAAAAAGAAAGAAAAAAAGTATGGATTTTCTCTATGGCTTTATAGGTCTGTCCTCACCATCTTCTTCCCTGAACGGAAGCCTGAATCCAGATGCAGGAGTGGAGGCATGGACAGGAGAGGATTGAGGAATAAGAGGTCAAGCACAGGTGTATAAGCTAGCATTCCAGGTAATTCTCATGCAGGGTTTCCTATCTTGCTTAGAGATGCTATTTTAAGAGGTGTGAGTAAACAGGCAGGCTAGCTGGGACACTTATACCCAGGAAGACTGCCTTAATATGTTTCACTCCTCCAGAGATGCCTTTCTCTTCTCCCATGACACTTCCCAGCACAGATACAAGTCCCTAGGCTTGTATCTATGCTAGTCCCTGGATGCAAATGCAGATTTTGATTACAGGAGCTCTGGTGGGTGAGGGGGAAGGAGAGAGTGAAAACTGGCTTACTTTCTCAGGGACACAGCGAGGCAGTGAGATGAGGCTTCTTGTCGTTGATCAGAAGTGATCCAAGCAACTACCCAATTCTCACTGTGATCTGTGTTACCCTTTGAAGGCTCCCTCAGTTGAAATCTATCCTTTCCTACTCATAGAACTGTTTGTAGCTTTACCATAGGGCAAACCATGCGTGTGGCTGTCTCAAAGTGGGAGCTTGGCAAGGTCACTCAAGCCAAATTTTTTCTGCCAGCACTAACTGATTTTCAGGGTAACCAGGCTCCTGCTGAGAAAACCCTCTTTTTCAATAGCCTTCTTCCTCACTTATATAATAAGGTACATGTTTTGGGGGGCTTTTTATGATTTACCATTGTCTTAATCACTTCTCTCACTGCTGAGACATAATATTCAACACCCACAACTTAAAGGAGAGGTTTATTTTGGCTCAAAGTTTCAGTGGGTTCATTCTATGGTCAGCCAGCTCCAAGACGGAAACAACATGGCAGAGAGGCATAGCAGAAAAAAAGTTGCTCACATCTTGGCAGTCAGGAAGAAGAGAGAAGGGAGGAGGCCTGGAGGGAGATGTAACCTTCCAGGTAAAGCCTCCAGTGACCCACCTCCAACCAGGCCCCACCTCCTAACAGTGAGTCAGCTATGAACTCATCAGTGGATTCATCTACTGATAAGTATACTTCCCCCATGATAAAACCATCTTCCAAAAGCCCACCTCCGAACACATGAGGCTTTGGGGGACTATTCTAGATCTAAACTATTCTAGATCTAAACTATAATAGCCATCAAATTGATCCATGTCCTTTAATACAGAACAGAAATATTTCACCTTATGGTGACTTTGTATCATTTTTGACTCCCTATTGCTACTATGAATAAAATTTTATTTTTATATCTCTTCCATCATCTAATTGGATTGGAGATGAAAGAAACAAAGACAAACACTCAGGATTCTAGATTCATAGGTTCATCTATGATCTTTCTCATTATTCTTATTACTTCCCTGAATGCTGATGAATTCAGAAGTTTGAGTTAAAACCAGTCCACTGAGGCTTAAATATATAACTGGGAAATGGCAACTCAGAAACTTCTGGATTCTCCATCGAGACTTTGTTGCACAGACTCGGAGGAAATGTCAAAGGGTTGTTGGATTAAAACTGTGCTAGACCTAAGAGAAATGTGTTAGTTCACTGGCTCACTGACAAGCAACGTTCTTGGCTCAGAAGAATGAAATGAGGGACATCGAGCACCTGAGCAATATGGCTGCCAGAGGACCAAGTATCCCTTTGTCAAGGTGTGGGGTCCCAGCAATGGCAGCTCAACAGAAAGGAGAGGTGAAAACCAAGACTTTCCTTTCAAACCAAGCACCTGGTCACTCACAGAAGATCTTTGAAGCACAGGGGAGGAGGGGACATGTCATTTCTAGGGTAATCGCCTAACACTCTTTTCACGGTTCCTCAAAAACAGCATGTTCTGTTTTGCTTTCCCACTTTGCAGGATGCGCTCTGCCAGAAATGCTCTCCTCCAAATTCTGTCCAGCAACACTGCATCCAATCTTGAGGGATGAAATTCAGTGCTACCATAAACCTTTCCCACAACATCCCAGCCACATGCACCTATCTTCCTCTCTTTAGTATCCTAAAATGGATATTTACAGTCAAACAATTACTGTCTCCTTTATGTTACACACTGTGCTAGGCATTAGGAAAACCATGAGAGGAGAGCACATTAGATTGCTGCCCATCAAGTGTATTTCAATACACAGAAAAGACCGAAAATAAGAATAACAATTGAATACTAGAACCACATCTAATTCATCACTAAATCTCCAAAATATTATGGAACTCTGGAGAGAAAAGATGAAACTTTATATTTGGAAGCAAGCAGTCTGGCACTCAGTCTCTCCATACCCTAGTTGAGCTGCCCAAGAACTGAATAGACCAATATAATTGAAGTACACCAGTTACAAAACTGTATTATAGATAAATGTTTCTGAAACCTTAGCATGCCTAAGAATTATTGGGAGAGCTTTTTAAAACACAGATTGCTAGGTGCCATCCCAGAAATCTGAATCAGTAGGACGAGGAAATGGCCAAAGTATCCATATGATATTGTGGCAAAGAAGGGATGTGGTCACTAATGCTATTCCCGTTTCCTCCTAGCTATACAGATGATGTATGTTTTCCATCCCTTTGTCATTAGATTAATGCTAGATGTCTTGATGTTAGACATGGAATGTGAGTGATGGTAATTTATAGGGTTTCCAGACCTGGTCCATGAAAATCCCCCAATCCTCCTAT